TTTTTTGGGGGGGTACTGGGGATTGAACTTGGGTCTTTGCTATGCTTGTGCGGCAGGCGGTGGCACCACTGAGCTAAATCCCCAGCCCTTATTATTTATTTTTTTAACTCATGCATTTCTGTCTTTCTTGCCTCTCTGGGTCTGTGATCCGCATTGAAAAATACCACATATCCCCTTCATTGCCACGACCCTAAGCATTAAAGGTCTTTGTTTTCAACTCTCAAATCATGTGAACTGTGTGATTTGGTAACTTCAGTCTTTAAGCTATTACTCTCTATCTTATCACTTTATTACCCATGGAAACCTTACCAGTGGCACTTGAGAGTGCAGGAATGTTAAAATGACAAACAGGACCTGGGATTTAGCTTGGCAGCACAGCACCTACCTGGCAAGCATGAATTCCTGAGTTCATCCCTGATACCAAAAAAAAAAACATACAACTCATGCTATGGCCACCGGTCACCAAATAGAAGACACAGTCTGGAGGCTTTTGTCCTCACCACCTGCTCCTCAGGAAATCTCTCCTCTCCTTGGTGCTGTTCCGAGACTGCCATGTGATCCACATTTCAAAACAGCACTTTTTCTTTTATGTGTAGGGGTGTGTGTGTGTGTGTGTGTGTGTGTAGTGAACCCAGATCCTTCCCATTGAGCTACAACACAAGCCTTTTGCTTTGTTGTTTTGTTTTGTTTTCAGCCTCCTGAGTACTAGAATTACATATATGTGCCAGTATGCATGGCTCCAACTTCTTTTTTTGTTCGTTTTTGTTTTTTGAGACAGGGTTGTGCTATGTAGTTCAGACTGGCCTTGAACTCACTATGCAACACATGCAATCCTCCTGCCTCAGCCTCCTGAGTGCTAGGATTACCCATGCCCAGCTTTTTAGAAGTTTTTGAGGTAAGGTCTCCCTATGTAATTCAAACTAGCCTTGAACTCATTGTGTATCCCATACTGGCTTTGAACTCATGGGGAGATTCCTGCCTCAGTCTCCCGAGGTCAGGGAGCTACCACACCCAGCTCTAGCCCTATTTATTTATTTATTTATTTATAGACAAAATCTTGCTAAATTTTCCACATGGCTTGAATTTGGGATCCACCTACTTCAGCTTCCCAGAGTGCTGGGATTACAAACCTGTGCTATCATGTTCTGCTTGGGTTTTTTTTTTTCTTTTTCTTCTTTTCTTCTTCTTCCTCTTCCTCTTTCTCTTCCTCTTCTTCCTCTTCTTCCTCCTCTTCCTCCTCCTCCTTCATCTCCTGGTACTGGTTTCAAATTTGGGGCCTTCAATTTGCCAGGCATAGGCAAAACCACTGAGCTACACATCCCCACCCCTTTTTTCTTTTTCTTTCTTGAGAGGTGCAGGCAGGCCTTGAACTCATTATGTAGACCAGGATGTCCTCAAACTCATGGTAATCCTCCTGCCTCAGCCTTCCAAGTGCTGGAATTACAGACATGTACCACCATGCCCGGCTATGCCTAGTTTCAAATGGAAATTTTTGTTTTGCTTTGTTTTGCTTTGTTTTTGTTTTTGTTTGTTTTTGGAGGCAGGGTCTCCTAGGTAACCCAGGCCAGCCTTGAACTCACAGTGATTTTCCTGCCTCAACCTCCTGAGTGTAGGCATATCCTCAACCCTGTTTTATTCTCTTTTATATATGCTTTATTTTTTTAACATTTGTCTAATTGTTAAGATAGTATAGACTTACGTAAAAAAATTGAAACTAAACCAGGCATGGTGGCGCATGCCTGTAATCCCAGCACTCTAGGAGGCTAAGGCAGGAGGATCACAAATTGGAGACCCAGCCTGGGCTATTTCGCCATTTACAAAGGCTTTGTCTCAAAATAAAAAGTTTTTTGAAGGGGCTGGGTGGGCACTGGGGATATAGTTCACTGAGGGCCCTGGGTTAAATTCCTAGTACCACAAAACAAAAAAACTGAGCATGTAATGGTATATATATTAGTGGGGTTCACTCATTTGCTTCCTTCCCAGGATCCATTGCACTAGTATTCTTTGTTAAAAGAGCCTAAATTTTATTCCAGTAGGCACTGTACCTGGTTTAAAGACTACATTTCCCAGATTTCCTTGCAGCTAAGGGAGTATGATGAAATAGTAAGAGGAAGTTGATGGGCGGGGCTTCCAGAAAAACTATTTAAAAGCAACTGACAGCTTGCCCTCTTGCTCTGGCCACTTCCTTCTTCCTGTTCCCTGGAACACAAACAAAATATCTGGGGCTGCAGCAGCCATCTTTTTGTTGTTGTTTTATTTTGTTTTTTGAGATAGGGTCTCAAGTGCAGGCTGGCCTTGAACTCACTATATTTAGACCAGGCTAGCCTGGAACTTGCAGTGATCCTCCTGCCTCAACCCCCCAAATGCTTTTAAGTAGAGAACAATAAACCTTAT